AGATTAATGTGTCCGTCCGTCCCCTTTCAATACTTTAACGAAGTAAAATCTCGTGCTGTTGGGGTGTAAAAATAAAATTGCGCAAAATTCCAATGTTCCTACCAGCCCACCCTGCAGGGACCTGTTTTATCAACCCCCTAAGGTCGCCCTTGCAGCAAGAAAACAACAACAACATCGAAACACATTCGTCAATACCACTGCGGCCTTAACATAAAACACAAGTTGACTTTTCGTTGGGAACCATTGGACGGATCAACGTGTTTGGCCCATCGTTCCATGTCAACCGGGTTATTGGCTCTAGCTCACCGATGAGGATTGAGAAACAACGACGCCAGTTCCAGTCGGTTGCAGTGCGCAAACATCTTTGACCTTGGAAGGTTTCTATCTTTAATTGTTTAACGCTCATAAACTTCTCCTCCCCCCCTCCACCCCCCCACTTTGCTGCACTGCGTTTTTCACAGGTGCACTCATCGATTCTGAAACACAATTATATTGCTGGCATTGTAGGCATGGGTCGACGGGTCAGATGTACGTACCGTATTCTCCAGAATAGATATCACGCTCCGGAAAGTAAGACGCACCCCAAACTATGAATGATAGTGCCAATAAAGTTACGCGCATGTCGTCACACACCCATGTTGCTTTCCAGGTTATGAGACGCACCCTCAACTCTTGTTAAACTAACAGCGAAAAAAGTCTTATAATCTGGACAATCCGGTCATTTATAACTTAAAAACGATAGATGTTTTTTTTGTAGCCACTACTGTATTATTATTCGTAATAGGATTGTGAATCTTAATTGCTCAGTTGGATTGTGAGCATCGTTCTGAAACGAATATTGGGGACGTTGAAACGCCTGTGGGATGTGACAATTTGGTTGGCTGTGTCGAGCGGTGGAGGGGTTTGACGACACACATTGGGGTACACATCTGGGAATGCTGCTGCGTTGACAAGTGGCACACACTGCACAATTAATGCATTAAAAAAACTCGACACATTCGTAAATAACGGACAATGACCCTTCTCCATTTACAGGATATGCTACAAGAAAGTTCCTACTGCCCGGAATGTCGACAAACGCGTCTCTATTTTTTAAGGCCACTGTGTTGTGGACAAATGCATTGGGAACAGGGAGGATTGCGTGGCCCAGCCCAAACATCAATAATTATCAATCACTGTAATTGCTGCTTATGTTTTTTTTCATGGACATGGGCACGTGTAACACAAGGTGACAGTGTGAACTATCCTGGGTGATGGTAAAATTAAACAGAGGAGCTCCATAGACAACAACGCCTGGCTGAGTTGTTGACATTACAGCACCGGTCGCTGTGATGAGACGCTTCCTGTAGTGTCAAATGTAGTGGTTTTCAGTGGCACAGCGCTTTAAGGTCATGGCGTAAATAGCATGCTGGCATAGCAATCCAGTGGTCGCTGGTTCGATCTACCGGCGCGGCATTTGAAACAATGGCGCAACTTTATCAAATCTACCCCCCAAGACCTGTACACCCAGCAGTGATTGGGTAACGTTGTAGTTTAATCGAGCTGTGGTTTGCGTGCAGTGGGGTAAAGTGTGGGTACCCCCCCCCCCCCACCAAGATGTCTGGGCAGGTTGAAAGGGCCAAGGTATAGTCCTCTCAAATGCAGGGCCCTCTCCGCTCGCAATGACGCGAGCAAGAAATTGCACGGCTGCGATTTGTTTATATTACAGGAAGAACGGCCCCAAATACAAAATAGAGAAGTGACGTCACTTTCTGTAATTGTTAATTCATAGGAATTGCCGTTCAAAAGCACCTACCTCCAGATTCCCCTGTACGCGTATGGGGATTGGCACTTGCACCAGAGTTAAGAGGCTCTATAACAAACAGCTGGTGCTAATGAATCAATCCTCCTAATCGCGTCAGAATCTCGGAAGCTAAGCAGACTTGAGCCAGAACAATTCTCGGATGGGCGACGACTGCCACGTTGAATGCACAACACAATCAGTTATCCAGGTCACATGCAAACCGGCTTGTGTGGTGGGCGCGTCGTGAGCAGCAGCGATTCGGGTAACTGCAGCGAAATTCCACCGATGTGCTGCTGCTGCTGCTATAATACCAGGGGCTCTGCAGCCTGCGGGGTGCCTCAGCAGTGGTTCTTTTGAGGGCCCTGCAGTGGCGCCTCTCGAAATTCGAATTTTTTTTTAATATATATAAACGGCTCTTTTTGTTTTTTGGTTGCCGACCTCTGACCATGGAAGTCCAGTTCACCATGGAAGTTCAGTTCACCACAAGAGTCCAGTTTACCATGGAGGTCCAGTTCACCACAAGAGTCCAGTCGACCATGGGAGTTCCGCTTACCATGGGAGTCCAGTTCACAATGGAAGTCCAATTTACCATGGGCAAGGGGTCAAGTAACCTGCGGCTCATTAAGGAACTGCTGCTTCGTGACGCGTCGTCTATTGAGAACCCGCACCACCTCGTGTACACCACACGCTGCTGTGCGGCTGCTCTTGAAGTATTGTTGAGTTTTTTTTACCGAATAAAAAATAATAAATATCTCTTCTTGTTGTTGCCTGTACTTTGATCCCACATCTAGAGTTAGCACCCTGCCACTTCCCCCCCCCCTCCCACCTCCGTGTTCACCAACCCGCATTGACTGGTATGGTCCAGTCTGGTCTCATAGCCCCGGTGACCTGCACGGCGTGGGAAGGCCCTCTCATCCAGTAAGTGGATTGACTAAAGTTGTCTGTACACGCACTCGGGGTTGACGAAAATCAGCGTCGGTTGACCGCACGTGCATTCCAACCGTATGCGTAAAAGCATTTTATTATTATCAAGCAACACTCTGGGTATATCCGCAGCCGCCATAGGAATGTGGAATTTCCACCACCGGCCCAACAAGCAATTACGTTAGCAATGGAAAGCAACAACAGTATCAACGCGCCTCGAGATGCAAGTCGTTAAGAGAACTGAACAAAAAAACTTAAATGTTGCACACATTGGCACGGGCAGATTATACGTGCTTGGAATTATACTGAGGCAGAAAGACAAAGGCGTGTACGTTAGACTTCTTTCGCGCCGTACGTAGCCAATCTGAGGAGCGTGGGGTAGGACAAATGAAAAAAAAAGGACAACCATCGTCACAATAACGCCCACAGCCATCACCGCCACAAATCTAAATTTTTACCAACTCCAACATCAGCAATTAACCAACGCGATCATAACCACCACCAGAAATTAACACCACATAACACGCATCACCAAAATCACCGCAAATGCAACCACCATCAACATCACAACCAACGCCATAATCACAACCGCAACTATTTCAATACGTGCGACTGTACTATATTATTTCATGTTTAGTTCACCCAGGCATGCCACAAACCAACACCACCACCATCATCATCACCGCCAGCGCCACAACAATCACAACCAACACAATCGCCGCAAACATCATGAGTAGCACCACCACCAATGCACCAAGTGCGACGTGCATTTTAGGCCGAGTCGACCTAGGTGCGTCACACACCAACACCCACAACCAATCAAAACGACAAGTCAATCACCACCACAACCACCGCAATATAACCAACACCACCACACATCATCACAACCACTGCAACCACCACCTATCATCACAACCACTGCAACCACCACCTATCATCACAACCACTGCAACCACCACCCATCATCACAACCACTGCAACCACCACCTATCATCACAACCACTGCAACCACCACCCATCATCACAACCACTGCAACCACAACCCATCATCACAACCACTGCAACCACCACCTATCACCACAACCACTGCAACCACCACCCATCATCACAACCACTGCAACCACAACCCATCATCACAACCACTGCAACCACCACCTATCATCACAACCACTGAAACCACCACCCATCATCACAACCACTGCAACCACAACCCATCATCACAACCACTGCAACCACCACCCATCACCACAACCACTGCAACCACCACCCATCATCACAACCACTGCAACCACCACCCATCATCACAACCACAGCAACCACCACCCATCATCACAACCACTGCAACCACCACCCATCATCACAACCACAGCAACCACCACCCATCATCACAACCACTGCAACCACCACCCATCATCACAACCACTGCAACCACCACCCATCATCACAACCACTGCAACCACCACCCATCATCACAACCACTGCAACCACCACCCATCATCACAACCACTGCAACCACCACCCACCATCACAACCAAAATCACCACCGGCACTACCACAACCACTCTGCAACAATTAAGTTGTCCTCCGACTAATGCATATTAATAATAATATTTTATCAATTTATTATTTTATTCTCATTCTACGTGACTTTACCGAAAGAACCAAAGAAGATGAATCATTGCAGTCACGAAAGCTTTAAATCGAAATTTAATGCATATTTTTTGAAAGCCCAGTCAACCTAGACGTGTCACAGATCACAACAACCACCGATGCATCAAGTACAACGTATTACATTCGTTTTTTTTTAAGGCAGAGTCGACCTAGACTTGTCACTGCACAAACAACAAAGACAAAGATCCCCCGTACAGTTTTAACATACTGCTGGGGGCAAGTGCTGCTCCAGAGAAGCAGCAGCAGCTCTATGAAAGGCCGGCACGGCACACCAGGGGGCTTTGGTGGCGTGGCCGTCACCACGCCCGGCCGCCTTTGTCTCCCCAGTGGCGGGTGACGGTACTTACTCATTTTTTAAAGGCCGAAGGGGTTAAACGCGGGCGGTGGGCGTGAGTGTGTGGCTGTGACGTGGCATGTGGCTATTATAAGGCCGGTTCACGCTGGTGCCGGCTTTAGTCTGCGTGGGTTGGAGAGACGCACACAGCGAGAGAGACACACAGAGAGACACACAGAGAGACACAGAGAGAGAGAGAGACACAGAGAGAGACACAGAGAGAGACACACACACAGAGACACACACACACAGAGACACACACACAGAGAGAGACACACAGAGAGAGATACACAGAGAGAGATACACAGAGAGAGACACACAGCGAGAGACACAGCGAGAGACACACAGAGAGAGAGAGGCACACAGAGAGAGAGAGAGAGGCACACAGAGAGAGACACAGAGAGACGCACGAATCCAGCCACTCTAACATATCGCTCGAACCTACACACACACACGCTCGAACCTACACTCACCGCTACACGCGATCCACCATACACTCGCTCAGCGTCACCATTCACTCGCCAATACTCGGTGCACACCGCACCTCCGATCAGCACGGTCGGCTCTACGTACGGTGCGAAAGAAGTTCGTCGTACATTTCATGCGACACTCGATCCACGGCACCCCTCCAAGTAATACTGCAAGTACTTAACGCGCATACTCCGACGTACACTCACTGGCACACACTTTAACGTTGTACGTTCTCTCTGCCAGACCGACACACGCACAACACAACCTCATCCACACCAACACAGGCCAAGAGCACACACAGACTCTCGCTTAGCTTGGACACACACACACGCAGTGGCATCATTTACGTCTCCTATACGCCGCGCACTCACACTCAAGACTTTCGCAGACCAACTCACAATACACAGCCGCACACACCCTCTCACGTTACTCATAACACACACACACACTTCCCATAATAGCCCGGTTGGCTGGCTAGGTAGGGTGCGAAAGACGTTCACACACCCACACTGCTCTTCACTCCATCACAGATCTCAGCGACTCCCGCCATGCCTCCTGTCGGAGGTCTGCGTGCGGTCTACAGGACGGCAGCTTCGAGGAGCGGTCACATCTTGAGCGTGGCCGCTAGCAGTGGGCCCTCTTCAGTCGACGTGTCCAGCACTCATCACCAACACTACCACCACCACCAACAACAACATCAGCAACACCAGCAGCAGCAGCAGCAGAGGAATTACCATTGCCATCAACAACATCAGCAGCAGCAGCAGCACCTCCAGCACAATGGCCACCACCACCACCACCACTGTGGACACCTTCACCAGCAGATACGAATGCAGAGCCGTGGCGCCGGTCTCGTCGGCACTGGGGGCCCCACGGGGCAATGCCCCCACGTCAGCCCGTTCACGTCCTGCTCGACCCCAATGGCAGAAGGTGGAAGAGGTGGTGGAGGTGGTGGAGGTGGTGGAGGTGGTGGTGACGACAGGACAGCCCCGGAGCAGAAGCCAGAGTTCCTGAGGCAGCAATACGCGCGGCTCAAGCACGTGGTCAGCGGTGAGTGGGAGCATTCGGAATAATTGACTGCGTTGTGGTCCAGTGGTTTATTGGTTGAATTGTTCAGTGGTTAATTGTGCCGGTTTGTTTTTGTTTAATGGCTGGCTGGCTGACTGGTTGAATGGCTGTTTGGTCGTATGGTTGGTTGGTTGGTTGATTGGCGACACAGTTTGTTATTAGCATGGCTGGCTTACTGGTTGCATCGGTGGTTCGTAAGGCGATTGGGTAGTTGATTAGTTAATTGACTGATTGGTTGCATGTGACTTGCTGGTCGATTGTGTAATCCGTTGCTGGGTTGTATAGCTGCTTGGGCGAGTGGCCAGTTGGATCGGTGAATGTTTGGTTGGGTGGGATGGTGGTGGTTTCATTAACTCTGATTGTTGCAGAGTTGGCAGATGGAGATGTTGAGGTCGTTCGATTGCCTTTCTGGCCCGGCTGGTTGCGACATTTACCCGGTTTGATAGCGGACGTAGATTCGTCTGCTCAATAACTCCTCTCATCCGAAGCTGAACGCACGAGAGAGGCGTTTTATGGTCACCGTGATATCTTCAAATGTACGTGTCACACGGGCACGTTCGCCACCTCGGGTCAAATTCACAAAGGGCATACGAACCGTATGCGGAGGCCGCCCTGCGGTCTCAATAACCGCGGATTATTTATGGAACGAGTATACGACGATGATCTACTGCACGCACAGACAACTCAGTGGCATCATCCCAACGTGGGTGGGGGGCAGTGCCGGATTAAGCTAAGTGCAGGGCCTGTGGCATATTTTATGAAGGGGCCCGAAATTGAAAATAAAACCACGTGAATATTAAAACACGTAAATGTTTAACTTGCATAGTAAAGTATTTTTTTTGCTATACAGCCAGATAATGCGACAAATCGCTAACCTTAAACATCCGGTCATTCGTAAAAGTTGAAGGCGGTGTAGTACTATAGTAATAGAGAAAGTGCAGAGTCACTGAACCGGAATTGATAGCTTGAAAGCATTTAGCGCGGGGCCCTTGAAAGTGCGGGGCCCGTAGCTACTACACATGTAGTAGCCACTTGTGTAGCTGCTACACATGTGTAGTAGCCACTTGTGTAGTAGCTACTACACATGTAAGTAGTAGTAGCTACTACACATGTAGTAGCTACATGTGCAGTAGCTACTACACGTGTAGTGTGTAGTAGCTACTACACGTGTAGTAGCCGCTTTTGTAGCTACTACAAATGTAGCTACTTGTGCTACTAGGGTCATCCGGCACTGCGTTGGGGTGGGGTAAACCCCCGTCACTTCGCCAGAGGACGTTCAACGCCGCGTTTCTCTCCCACGACCCACGATCAAGAGAGGTTTTGGACTGCGTTGCTCCCACATCCGAATCGGCGGCCCCGAATTGTTTGACGCGCTTTGCCCACGTACAAGGCCGCCTGGTGATCGCACGCAGTCCTCCGGATTCGACTCGCATCCCCGTTTATTGTTAAGCTCCGGTTGGTTTCCCTGCTCTTGGCGCTCATCACCGAGCCGCTGCCACTTGAACGGGCAACTGCCCCCGATGGCGTCGTCCCAGAGAGGTAGGTCGTCGACCCGCAAGCCCAGCTCCTCCGTTGGCACTTCCCTGGGGCTGCATCATCACCCTGTCCGGGCTCCAACGCGTGCCTGCAAACCGCGTTGAGAAGTGGCCGTGGCTTGCTGATGAGCGCCTCCGCGACGAGTGTCGGGAATGTTGTGAGGTCGGGGTGGACGTGACCGCGTGTTCTGTTCTTGCGTCAGGCTTCAACATTTGTTTTAAACACTTGTATGTGACTGTCGTTTTTAATCGGGGGGGGGGGGGGGGGGGGGAACTCATTTTGATTTAAAGCTTTCGTGACTGCGGGGATTCATATTCTTGGTTCTTTCGGTAAAGTCACCACGTAGAAGGGAAACAATAAAATAATAAAAATATAAAACAATATTTTTATTTCATATTCTTAGCTCTTTCGGTAAAGTCACGTTGAAGGGAAACAATAAAATATATATAAAACAAGAAAAATTCTCACGACGTTTCGACCATAACCGTTTCGACCATAACCGTTTGTGTTATGGTCGAAACGTCGTGAGAATTTTTATTGTTTTATATATATTTTATTATTTTATTGTTTCCCTTCAACGTGACTACCGAAAGAGCTAAGAATATGAATTACTGCAGTCACGAAAGCTTTAAATCAAAATATTTTTTATTATTTTATTGTTTCCCTTCTACGTGACTTTACCGAAAGAACCAAGAATATGGAAGAAAAAAAAACAGATAAAATGCATTTTTAACGTGATAACAAATGCATGTTAATAGCTTTAAAAAGTCAAGAGTCTCCACTTATATAAGAATAGGTTTTACCCTTTCTGGCAATAATAAAACAGTTGTGTTAAGATGTTTAAACACTAAACAAACCTTTTGCAAGGATTCATGTCTGCATTAAGGGGCCGTCCATAAATGACGTCACGCACCCAGGGGCGGGGGGGTCAGACATTTGTGACGATGTGTGACGAGGGGGGGGGGGGTTGAGAAATGTGACGTCACATCAAAATGCGCAACGTTAAATAAATATAGACAACACGTTCTACTTAATTAAATAGACTTTTTAATAAATGTTTTCTCCTACAACATCAGAGTGCAACGGCACATTAAATACGAACTACAATGACAATAATTTAAAGCGCTTTAAAGCATGTTTTATATATTTTTTGGGGGGGGCAGAGCTTTGTGACGTCATATTTGAGTTGGGGGGTCTGACTTTTTGTGACGCCGTGTGACGAAGGGGGGGGGGTCAAAATCGTCCAAAATCGCGTGACATAATTTATGGACGCCCCCCCCCCCCCTAACCACATATATTTGTGGTGAACATGCAAACAATAAAAAAGTGCTCTTGGTAGTATACGATGCATTGTCTTTGAAACTGATTGATCCACAGCAGAGCCTAGTCTCACTCGTTCGCCATCGTTGTCAACGCGTGGCCTGGACTCGTCTCCAGGTGGTTTCCAGAGCCCGGAGGCAGCGGCACATGTCACGTGGTGTTGTTGCACATTTTTCAGAAGTGTTAAAAAACATTTTGAAGCACCCCCGTATATTCGGGAGACCCAATGCCATTGTCGAGGTCGGCTTGGCGCGAGATGGCTTCGGTTGAGAGTTGGTGTCGTTTTGATAATCCTCCTCCACTGAAGGAGCGTAGACCACAGTGGCTTATTGTGTGGTCCATTTGTTTGGGTTGCGTGTCTCCATGGGTCTCTATGGGTCTCTACGTATCTCTGTGAGCTGCTGTGTGTCTCTGAGTCTCTGTGTTTCACTGTGTCTCTATGGGTTTGCTACTTGGGTCTGTGGTTTGGGTTGCATGGGTACAATCGCACTGCTGTGGCTTGTCCTGAATGTATCTCTATGGGTGCCTATGTTTCTCTGTCGGCCACGATGTATCTCCATGTGTCTCTATGTTTCTATGTCTCTATGGGTTTACTATTTGGTTGTGGTTTGGGTTGCATGGATTCAATCGCACGATTGTGGCTTGTCCTTAAAGTATATTGAAGGGTCTCTATGTATCTGTGTGTCTTTATGAGTCTCTGTATTTCTACGAGTCTTTATGTTTCTATGTGTCTCTGGGTTTTACGATTTAGGTCATCGTTTGGTTTGCATCGCCACAATCGCTTGTCTTTGTTGGACACGATATCACGTTTCACGGTATGGGCGGTGTCGTATTTGCACGATATGACAATTATCACCAGGTACATTTTTTTTCAACGGTGTCACATTTGTACCGCTTTGTTTGAGCACTTTCGCTGTACGTTTGGTACGAAGAAAGATTAGAAGTTATTTCTGTCTGCAGTCTTGCTCAACGTACGCCTTCCGTTTGATTGTAACGCAAGCGATATTTGTGACGCTCATAACGCACGTGCTTGCCAGCGATACAGGACATCATGAAATGAACCACGATGGTCACGAGGTCGGAAAAGCGCCCAAATGTCAATTACTCTGACGGACATTTTTGCAAAGCACTTAATTTAATGGATAAATCGCCATTTCGTTACAACTTTAACTGACAGTTTTTTTTTAAACAAATATTTCACCGAGAAATTAAATTCGAATTAAAAGTAAAAACGAGGAATGATAATTTTACGATTGAATGAAAACATTTTCCCCAGGTAACGCTGTTGTTTTTGCACCGATTTCTGTTTGCTCGATAGCTTTGAATTGTTATAATCTTTTCCTAAGACAAACGTTTAGTCAATTTCGCGGCTCGGGATCACTCGCTTGCAAACGAGACTCATCCTGGGCCCTTCCTTAAGTTTCTTCGCCCGGTTAAAAAATAAATAAACCAATAAACCCCGAACTTTACGCGCCTTGCAAAACGTGATGGATGCTGCATCTCAAGTGAGTTTACAGGGTAAACATTTTAACATTCAAACAAGCGTGTATAATTTGCAAAACCCGACGTGACGATTACGGGGGGGGGAAGGGGGGGCGCCCTGATATCGCACGAGTATAGTTTCGCCACGATTCACAGTCGATTTCTGGATCCCACCACGTCAGAAGAATGCTGCGTCCTAAACCCCCCCCCCCCCCCCTAACCCTGCCCGACACGGACAACTCATTGGGCTTACTCTTTGGTTCTTTAGGTAAAAGTCACGTAGGTAGAAAAATAATAATAATAAAAAAATTAATACAAATATAATCACGGGACGAACAACCTTGACAAGCTATTGCAGCGACAAATCGATTTCCAGCAATGAAATTGGGCGAGCCCGTGGGCCGTGTTGTCGGGAGCGGAAAATCACTCGGCGAGTTCCGCTCATCACGTCGCAGCTCCCATCAGCTGGTCCGTGTCGGGTGGGACGAGGAATAGGGGGGGGGGGAGGGAGGGGGGGGGGGGCGTACGGCAATGCGACATTTCACTCGCGCGGCGATCTGACCCAGAAATCGACGAAGAATCGTCGCGATATTGAGGCCGTGCGCGCGCATTAAGCATTTCGTCGTGGTGCCAACGGTGGGGGG